TCTATTTAATGCAAGTTATTTCTGTTTGATAGCTTTACTTGTTTAGAAGTTATTAAGAAACAAACCGGAGTACTTTTTTGGGGGACACCCGGTATATATATATATATATATATATATATATATATATATATATATATATATATATATATATATATATATATATATATATATATATATATGTTATTTGAGAACTATTTCATTATTTGTAAACCGGACATTGCAACACTTAATCGTCGCAACGAACTTGCCTCCACGTGTAGATACGCTAATAAATTTCTACTTAAAAACTTTATAACTTGATACTAATATTTTCGTGACACTACTTGAGGTGTTAATTGATTTGTAATTAGATAAGCGTCCTTTATACCATCTGTACATATTTAAAAAGTTCGTTAAGAAGCTATAGGTCAAACATAGGCTATTTTATCTGAAGAGTGCCACGTTATTTACGTGGTACGAAACTGTATAGTAATAAATATTCCAAACAAAGCTTGCTAAGTTTTTGTGCCTTTCTATTATGCTCTGGTTATCCATTGAGCACTCTATCATTGGTTTTTATAACCCTACACAAGCTATTTTTTATATATATATATATATATATATATATATATATATATATATATATATATATATATATATATATATATATATATATATATATATATATATACATATATATATATATATATATATATATATACTAAAAGGTTGGCAACTCCCGGGCGGCGTTTGACCTATACGATCTATATACACACAATTACACATGAAAATACTCCAACTTAAACACAAAAACTTAGAAAAAAAACTAACTCTACAAAAACATTGATTTCTTTAAAGCATTTGATAAGTTTTTTTTTCGCTTCAAAACAATTGCAAACACGAGAACTTTGAGGGAATATAACGGTTTCGGGCTTGAAATGGCGAACAGCTGTTGGGATGCTCAAAACCTGCCTGACGTCACAAATTCTAAAGATCCCATTGGCTAGATAAAATAAACAAACTTTTCGCGGGAACATCAAATTTCTCGCCGCCTGGGGGGGGGGGGAGATTTTCTTAAAAAATTTCCAAAAGAAACAAGTCACGAATAAATTAGGAAATTTATACAAAGATGAAAAAAATAAATACCTTGTTGCGCGAGCGCGAAATAAAAGTTTTGAAAGAAGACAAGAAACAGCTTTGACAGGAAAATAGCGTTTGTTTTTTATCTTATCTCATATAAAAGAGCGTCTAAATTTCAAGTATTTTCACTCCCGAATTCACTTCGTAAAGACATTACTACATGGCGAACAAAGGAGAACCTGGCTGGTATTAAAACAAAACACTTCATTATTTAGAAAAGCCTTAAGAGTGACTGCCTCTAACCATCACACAAAATTTGAAATCCGCGGCAAACCTTGAAAAATCGATTTCCCTTATACTTTCAAGTTAGCGAGGGTAATGTATCCCAAGAATTGCCTTATAGTTGGTTTGATCAAATAACGCTTTTTAACGGAGAAAATTTAAATTAATATCAAACACTACCAAAAAACGCCGATTTCGACAGTTAATTATTACTCAACTTTCGCGGCAGATGGTCGAAAAATAAGAAACGCTAGAGGTTCAAACACCCCAAATACTTTGAAAATGTTCCATTGTGCACAACATGTGTGACTTTAAGATCAATTGTTCACAATATACCACAACAATACCACAACAATAAAATTTTATTCGCTAGACATATATTTCGAGTCGTTCAAAGTATGTCGTACAAAAATATGAATTTTAAAACTGCTTAACCTGTCAGTCGCTTGAAACGTCCATGCTCGATTACTTATATGTTTATCTTTCTAATGGTTTACGAAAATATTTGGGCAAACGATTTTCATTCACGTGGTGGCTCCTCAAACTTTGGTCAAATTTACTCATTTCTGACATTTAATTTAATTTGGCGGCGTTCAACAAAATGCAAGACACTAGTGTTTATGTGTGGACTATGAACTCATAAACGAATCTAAAACACATTAAAAACCTAAAATGATACATTTTGTTGAGGATTCTTACCTGTTAAACTGCTAAACCCAGATTTTCATGAATGTTTTTCAATATACATCGATGTGGTTTATTTGTTTACCGATTTGACCATGCCTGTCAAGCTGCCGTGTCTGCATGCACAGGAGGCCATATTTTGTAAATATATTTGACATCCGTTATTCCGTACGATGTTTAATTATTTATTCGGTTTATTTACGTGATTTTTTTTTCGTTGGCATATCACGCATTTTAATACAATTGTTGTAATTTCCAGGTCACTTTAATATTTCAAAGCGCGCTTCCCATGTTTTGTTTTGATTGTAAATACTGCATATTACTTATTACATTTCTAAATTTAGAATACTGGGCGGGGTATTGATTAAAAGTTGCGAAATTTATAATAATCTGCCATATTTTTATCTTTTTAATGCCCAACTTTACAGCATAATCAAATAAAGTTCAGTACTTTAGTGCGATATGGAGGTTTGTTGTTCGTTTAAGACGATGATTGGGGGAATATGTGGTTCAGATAGCCGAGATAAAAAAGAAGAAGTGACGGTCATTCCACTAGTTTCCTGTTCAAGAGATATAGCAAAACATTTGGGATCATTGACATCATTGGCGTTTTCTGGACCGCGAAATGAGGTAGATTTGATCTTGTTTCGAACTGCGATATTTAAGATACCACAGGATATAAACGACATGACAATATGCCCATTCCATCGCGGGAAACTTGGTTTAGGATGGACAAGAGGAGCTAGTATAAGATGCAGAGTTCTACCTGTTTTGTCACAGCACGGTAACAAAAATAAGAAAAGTTGGCCCAAGGGTGAAAGAGGGTTGGGAATATATGACTTCCTACATATGCTACGAAAGACTGGCGTGTTTATTCAGTGTGGCTCAGGTAAGAATGTTTTGTCAGATTTTGATGCATAATTAAATAGATATTAGATATGTACACAGTTTAATCGTCACAAAATTTACAGTAAAAGTTCTGAATTACAAAGTAAAGTGATTACATAAAAACTAAGTGATTTAAAATTACAACCCAATTTAATAAAATGTAATGAGCAGCACTTTATTCCACAGGAGTATGCAGAAAATGTAAAGATC